AGACTCCTGAGGAGAGAGACGGCCTGGATCATTTTGGAAGGAAAGGCCTTTGTGGCTGTTGAGTGGTAAGGTGAGCTGCAAAGGAGGCGGGGGCTCACTGACACCCAGCTGTGCAGGCCGTAGGAAGGTGTGGGTTTTACCCTAATGCAAGGAGTGTCCACTAAAGACTTGTAAACAGAAAGAAGGGAAGACACATGGAGGAAAGAAGGAGGAGGAAGAAGGAGAGTAGGACCCTCACAGACACAGACGAGTGGGAGCTCAGGTCCCCTGGCCTCTGGGTCCCAAGAGGCCTGTTTCCTTCAGCTTCTCTTTACGTCTCCGTTCAACGTCTTTTCTCTACTTAAGTTTCTGTTCTTTTGTCCAAAATATCAATACTAATAATGTGATTTTATACGAATAGTTCACTAATTATGGAAGGATTGTGACAGAGATGCTATCAAGCTGAGAAACCAGTTAACCCAAAAGCCACGGCTTCTCCAGTGTTAAAAGTGGCGGGGCCTAGAAATAAGAATTAGGTTACTCTGAGCCCACAGTCACAAGATCATCCTTAGACACTTTAATATGAACACACACACACACACACACACAAATCCATTAAGAAGGACAGAGTAACTATTTTACAGATGGAGTAAAGTATAATAATCAAGACCAAAAGAGTCCATCAGGACTTAAAATGTAGCATAAAAAAGCTTGATAGATGATTTAGCTGATTTTAACTGTCAGCACTTTGTCTCACTTAGATTTGTCCAATGTCCTGTATGAACTCTAAAAATAGATATGCACTTGAAAAGTTAGGGGAAAACCATATTCATTAATTTGTTCCTGGCAGTTCTAAGTCAATACAGATTTGTAAAATGTTACTTCAGATTCAACTGGCTCACAAAGACCCCCCCCCCAAAAAAAAGAAAGAAAGAAAGAAAGAAAACTAATTTGAATTCCTCTGATCTTTCTAATACTATTATTCTTCCAGAAGCCTTCAAGTATTCATAATTTAAAGACTAAAATGATGTATGCACAGACATATATATGTGTATTTATATGTATGTGTGTGTATATATATGACTTACATATATATATTGCCACCACTATATATTTAAAGAAGATAACGTCTCATAAAGAAAGGTAAAACCAAATAATTTTGAGTTTGCAGTTAGTAGTTATGTGAATGTCTATTTTCCAATCTATTCTGCAGAATTTAAGTTGAGAACTATAATTTAGCCACTTTCCTCCCAGGTAAATTACCAGAGAGATCAAATTTCTTACATCTGTGATGTTTACCACAACGTCCAGTTTCTGCCAATTAAAAGCCCAACATTAATTGTTGGAAGTGCCACATAATAGCTGTAGTAGAAAACATTTTAAACACACAACCACATTTATACATTTAACAGCTGTGTTGGTCTAACAGTTCAGATTTTCACTATATTCTGCCATATGGTAACAAGGATCATTTTTCACTTAAAAATACTACCAAAAATTAATGCCCTATAGCAATACTACTATTCTAATTTTCAAACTACACATTCAGAGCCATGTTTCTCCTCTGGCTCTACACTCCCTATCTGCCTTAATTCTACTTAAAATATTTAGTAACATAGATTTAAAAAAATTTTTAAATTAGTGTCAACCAGATCAAACACAAATATTACAACAGGAAACCTATGGAATATGACCTGACAATGAAGAGGCAGGATATAAAATCTGGGTTATATAAAACTGTAGGGCCATGGAGACTGGGACCCATTTTTGTTCATTGGGTTTGGGGTTTTTTTCTGTATTTCAGAAGAGCTGCTTCCAACTTCCTATCTCGCCTTTTTTTCCCTGTAACTCTTTATGATGAGAATTAGTCCTAAAGACAAAATGTTGACTACTAATTTTTATTTTACTCTGATTGCTATAATAATCTATTACCATGATTTTATGTGGGGGTGGAACCATAGAAATGTTCATGTATACATTTAACAGAAAGCTAAATAAAACATTTCACCTTTTTAAAGAGCAGAACATGAGGCCCATCCATGTCAGGAAGGGCACATTGTTGTCACCACTGTGTTATAACAACAAACAGAAAGAGTCCTTTAGTTTTTATGTCTGTCAATCTATCACCTTTATAACCTCACTAAATTCCTTCGGGAGAACTTAAGAGGAAGGGTAGTGACCATAATAATGCCTTCATACTGTTTACACATCGCACTATACTCATTATGACTGCCTGTAATTCTCCGCTGTCTTCTGAGAATAAAGGAGCAGGGCAGTATAAAAGCTCAATCTTTAAAATTATACATTTCAAATAGAAACGAACACTATAGATTTTCCCCACTGCAGGTCATATTCTCACTTTTAGAAGACAATTCCACATTTCATGATCCCTAACTTTAAAACATGCGTTTCTGAAGCCATCACAATGTGCCAAGATAAAAAACACAAAGTTCAAAACTTACCGAGATGTACCCTTGCTTCCTTTTTCCTAAGCCTGTGCCTCCTCAAGTAAGACATTTCAGATAAGATGGAAGCAGCGATAAGACTCAGGCTGATGGACCACCCCCAACCCAGGTCGCCCCAGCCACTCTGTGCCCCTTTCCATTCATCGGGACTTTGCAGGGCTTCATACCATTTAAGGCAGAATCGAAGTATTGCACATATTCCTTCCATAGAACTTTTTGGCTTCCATCTATTTAAATACCTACATATTTTTTTTATCAGCCTGAAGCTCAAACTCTCCAAATGTAGCAAGTTGTCACTTTGAAACACATGGACTTTGAATAAGTATTTAAGGTCTCAGAACATTAACCTTGGCTTTGTCATTTACTTCAGAAGTCTTGACCACTCCACTTGTCTGTGCTTCGTATTTACCTGTCTCTGTGACCATCTTTCTCACGGAAGGGCACGCAAAATTAATGACCATAAAGCATTACACGTTGTCAATGAATATGCAACTTCAATAGTCAAAGCTGCTTAGTCCTGGTTGAGCTCATAGTCCCTGTCTACAGAATACTCTGTTTGCATCCAGGCAAAATCATAAAAACCATGAAACTTTTTTTTAAGGTTACAGGAAGAGAAATTCCTCAAAAAAAAGTTAAAATTTCAATGGTGACAGGCAGGGAATATAAATCATGATTCAGTATGTCAATCACATTAAGATGAGCTGTGGAGTTCTTTTAAAGTCATGTCTCAGTTTACATTTCCAGACTGTCTCCTACTCCAGTATAAATTAACATTATTAACAATGATACTAATAATAGCAAATCCTCAGACAATACTAAGCACCTGACACTATTCTAAGTGCTTTATGTGCATTTACTCATTTAGTAAGCAAATCAATTCTATGGTTACGTATTACTATTATACCCAATTTACAGTTGAGAAAATCAAGGCACCAATAAGACACCTCATCTGAGTTTACACATCTAGTAAGCAGCAGAGCTAAGACTCAAACCCAGGCATTCTGGGTCCAGAGTTCATACTCTTAACCACTATGTTATAGAATAAGTTAGTAAACACACACAGACCCACACAGGCACTCACACGAAAGGGCTCTGGACAAGGAATTAAAAAGGCTGTTTCCCAGAAGAAAGCAAGGAATGTCCCTGGGCTTCAACCTTCCCACTGGAAAAGCAAGACAACTACATAATACTATTTTAAGGGGTATTCTAATCCTATCATTTATGATTCAAAGATTTAGTCTGCAGCATACAGCCCCTTTACTTTTGATTGACTTAACTCAATAATTAAACAAAGTATTCATATATTTCAAGGAAAATGCTAAAAGAGAAGGAAAAAATCACCCTCAGGCAATCAAGAAATAGTAGTAGCATGAATAAGGACTTCACCTCATATGTATCATGCTTTGAGTTCCCTGCAACATTCTTAATTCCCCTGAGGTCTTTTTACCTCTTCTAGAAGGTACCAAATTATAACAATTCTTGGAAAGTAAACTAGTAAACCAGGTAAATGAACTACTAATTGTTCCTTCATTATCAATACACAAAACTTCTTTGAGTTACACTTTTCTATGCTAGAAATTAAAAGCATTTTTTCATGGAGCCAAGCCGCACAATATTTAAATAGTGTCACAGAAAACTTTGAGATTATGAAAACAATCTTGTAGGTGCCAATCGGAAATACATGCCCATTGGTAATACATGCTTCTCAAGTAAACAGTATTGCCAAATTGGTTGTATAAAATGCATTCACAAGTATATAAGGTTGAACTGTAGATGCATTTCGATCTCATACATATTCTCTTTGTCACCTGGCTTAATTTTATGAAACTGTTACTTTCTTACTTCCAATCTCGTGACTCGTTGCAAATCACTGTCACAGATAGCTGTTTCATATTCATTAAGTTATCTTTATCTTAACTTGAAAACAGTTTACCTACTTTTATAATTATTCTTATTTAAAATAATTCTTAAAAATTGCTATTCTTTAGTCAACTTTATACAAGAATAATTCTTCGGGATAAAATGATCACTAAGCAAGCCCCTGTTCTTAAATGTGGATAAACATCTGACACATATTCACAAATTATAATTATTGCCATTATAAAACTAGAGATCTACTCAATGCATCCATATAAAAATTGCAATGAACTTCAAAGTTAATTAGCTAACCTATAAAGAAACTAACAAATTCAAATTAAAATGATCAAAACAAAGTTTATTAGAATTGTTATTTTCTTAAATTCTTCACATATGAACTATCACAGTATGTTGACAATCAACTTCATACTCAAAGTTCCAAACGGGACTGCATTTAAATCTTAATTGCTAGAGAAAACAGAAAGTTTGCTTCCATTTTAAACAATTCTAGTACACAATCTAGAAAGCTTCGCTGAAACAGAGAAAGCAGTAGTTACAGAGCAGTTGGAGGATGGGAGTTGGAAGTGTTTAGCCACTGAACTTCTGCCCTGAACTTTCCCTTCTGTGATAAAAACCGCGAAACCAGACAGTAACAGAGCCCCCTGTCAGCACTGTACTGTGGGGCACTCATCTTCTTACCCCGTGTGTGCATGGACAGAAGAATGAGCAAGGAAATGTGAAGCTGCCAGTTTACTTCTTCCAGCCAACCCACTGCAAACGGAGAGCAGTCAATGTGACCCGCCTGTTTAAGCCTCCTGTTTCTTGCCTTTCCTTCTTTCACTGAGACTCCTCTGCTGCCACTCTTGTCAGAGCTTCAGGCTAGCCTGCCAACAAGCCCTAGACAGGACCGTGAAAGACAAGCCTGTTACAAACTGGTTCTGTCACCACAGAGACTTCAACTGATCACCTCGTGGGGAGGACAACAAAGGGCGGTGAGGACCCCAAGCCGGATTGTTTTCTTAAGAAAGGAGCCTGACCCAGCTGCCCACACAAGGGCCAGCACAGGCGGGACTTTGCTCTGGACTGGCCACGCCAAAGCCCCCACACCTCCCGGGCAGCTGCGGGGGAGTTCCAAAGCAACACACACCTACACTTTGCTGTCATGCAATTGCTCATTTCTTTCGTCAAAGCTTTTTTCTCTGCTAGGGATTGTAACTGTTTGGGAATTGTAGAAAGACAAGGAGAAATAAAATTTTTCTTTGATAAAACGACAGAAACACGTCACGGTGTCATGTTACAGCAATTTTCTCACTACATCAAATTTAAAGAATGAGGCAAATGCCTCTAAGTCATGTGCACAGATACAAAAAAAGGGTCACATGTAAAAAGCATCTTTAATGAGTACTTCAAGTTAAAATATTTCAGTTAAGCTACTCACTAATTTGAAGTGACTATAGTTTGAAGTTTCTTATATAGAATAGAGTACTGTGACCTAGCCAATTCGATTATGTAATTAAAACCAAGGTAAGTTATTCAATTTTTTTAGATGTTAACTGTAACTGTGGCTCAACATAAACTATGAACATTTTGTAAAATTTCAATTTTCCGTGATATTGTGAGTGACCTTTTTCAACACTAAAAGAACTTTCTCAAGGACTATTTGTATTCTTTTATTCTGGGAACTGTCAATCATAAAAGAAATGTGTAGAAACTACAGTATCACCAGAGACAAACAGAAGTAATGAAACCTAGTCAGTTTGCACAATAAAGAATTTATGATTATGAGAACAGAGACATAGTTCCATGCTTATATCTAAGATAGCATCAGAATGTGTTTACCTGAAGTTTTAAGAATTTTTTTTTTTGGAAAAAAAATCTCTGCCATCTTCTCATTTTTGGAAGACACCCCGACTTCTCTAAACACACCAGCACCTCCCAGAACTACCTTCCTAGGTGCCATTCAAACCTATTCTCTTGCTTCGAGTAGCTCAACAGTTGCTCTTTAGGATTAATGACTACTACTATCACTCCCACATCCTCAAGTCTCAGTTTCATGAGATGGAATTTAATAGAAATGCAGTATTTTTAATCACACAGAAAATTATGGCATATTTTAAGCTTAAGAGACTACACATTTTGCATTTCACAGAATCTATGCAACTTACTTGTCAGGAAAATCTGTTCGGGGGTAGTAAATGAGATAGTCTTTCAGTATCATTTATCCACATCCCTTTTAGCTAAGAAGGGAGATTGAGGCATATTAAATGAATACAGGGTGATCAGGAACAGAGGGGCAGTACAAGGGAAAAGCAGACAAGAATTAAGCAGTAGACTCTCTTGTTCAAACCTTCTATATTCGGCTCAAAGCCACATCACAACATGGTTCCACTGCTAATTTGGAACCTAGCCTTGAGCTCTGGGATGAGGAGTGAACGGCTGAAATGTGGGACAGCTCCCACTGCTCACATTTCCCCAGTATGGGCATCCATAAATGGTGCAAAGCATGAAGAGAGAAGAGTTGCTCTCTCCCTAGAATCCTAATTCAGTTCAAAACAATCCATATCAGCAACCATTTCTGATTCTATATTACGTGCTTGCTAGCTGAAGTAAATGCACTCAGGAAGTTTACAATACCACAGAAAAAGTTTTATATATATATATATATATATATATATATATATATATATATATATATATATATAAAATAGAGAACTAAGGTAAAAAGGTAAGCTGCTCTAAGATGAAGTGCCTTCAAATGGAACAAAGATGGAAAATCACAGTAAGGGATGGATTAGACTGGGCCAGAAATTGAAAGCAGGGCTGGATGCTGAAATACAAACTTAATTTATACAAAGATAGAGGAGATGGAAAGGGAGAAAATTATATGAGCAAGGATTAGAGGCAGGATTAAGTATTTCATTTGTGCAATAGAATGAGAAGGAAAATCTTACTGGAGCAGACAGCTCCTATTAGTAAATGGCTGAAGAGAAAGCTAGACAGAGTGGAACCAGGTTGTGCAGGATTCTGAAAGCAGGTTACAGACTTTAGGCTATACATTATATAACTAACCAAAAGGCTTTTGAGCATGGACTGGCTTAATGATTTTTTTAAAAAAAGTTTACAATTTCAGAATATAGGATGAGTCTCTGAACCTAAACTTCTAACTAGGTGAGAAAGTGAAAATTAGAAGTGTGAGGAGAGGCTTCCACTTAGTTGACTGTTTTGATAATACAGACGTGTTTCTTTCATCTATACTACTAAGAAATTTAAGAGGTAGCCCTCTTAATTCCCTCTATTTTGCCTTTATTATTTAACATACGCTGGGTGTCAACAATGAAGGAGATGTTCTATACAACGCATAATTAAATTCCAGACAAATAGGATCAAAGATCTTTAAAAAACAAAAACAAAACTCATAATGTAGATCAGAAATCTGAGTGAGCAAAAAAAAAAAAATCCAGATTTGCATATGATTCGGCCCACTCACCTTAAAATTCACACCAAATGAGTCTTCGAAGAAAGCTCTGAGAGAACATTAAAAGAAAGGTCTCCATTTGAAAACACACATGTGTGAGAAGGGCAAGGGAAAAGAAAAGGACGAGAGACAGCACTACCAACAGGAGCAGGACATGTCGTTGCTATACACTATTTGTAGAATTCTTATACAGACCCACTCATGCTAGATTTATGGAGTCTGTGCTGTGAAGCAGAGAGAGCCTAACTACTATCTGAGAGAACCCTGGGCAAATTATTTCAACTCTCTGTTCTACAGTCTGCTCATTATCCAACTGGTAAAATTATTGTATGAATTCTACAAGTAAATGAATATAAACTACTGAATACAGTGCCCAGAACACAGGAGGACATCAGAAAATGGTCAGCAATTTCCCGACAAATCTCACTAATCACGCTCCTGGCTCTTGAACCAAAAAAAAAAAAAAAAAATTAAACAATAATGTTCCTTAATGTAACATTTGCCAAACTATTTCTGTCACCAAAAAATGTGATCACTAAAACAAGAATACAAAATATACCATAGGTTAAACCAAGGTTTTATAAATTTGTATTATACCCACCAAGGCAAATATTTATTTAAGCCATTTATTTTTACTTCATTTAGTAAGTAATCATGCAATTAAAGCAGAAGTACACAAAATAGCTTTAAATTATGAGACTACCTTTCTAACAATTACCATTCATGACTTATTTTCACAAAGAACCTCCCTTAGTCTCCAGATTTTATGTATTTATACAGCTTTATAAACTGTCACTGCGTGTAGTGAATGGGGTAGGAGAACATTAAAAAGACAGTGCCTGCCTTCAGGACAAAACCTACCCTGTAATGGGTGAGGACAAACAGCCAAATAATGACAATGCAAAACCGTAACTGCCTGCTACGCTGAGGGAAAGTGGAAAGCACAGTGGATAAACAGAGATTAATTCTGGCCGGGGGTGAGGATCGGACTTGTGGGGGAGAAGCATTTGAACCGGGTCTTCAAAGATAAGTAGGAATTCAGTGGGTGAGGGGAGGGCAAAAGAATCCCAAGCAAAGAGAATCGGACAGCACAGACATTTATGAGGAAGAAAAAGAGCAGTATCTGCAGAGCACACGAGAAACCGGGTATCCCTAGAGAGCAGTGAAATGAGGCTGGAAAAGGAGGCTGGGAGACACTGGGGAGGAAGGGCCTTACAGCTCCTAACTTGATTTTGATTTTATCCTACATACACTGGAAGCAATGCCTTGGTTTCTGAAGGAGGCGTTGGCACAGTTACCATTGTGCGAATAGACTGCAGCCAGTTCGTGCAGCTGATTACATTTCGAAAGAAACTAGTAAAGTTTTTGAGATAAGATGAATATTTTCCTTTTTATGTAAGAAAATACAACAGTACCCTTATCATTCTTCATGAGAACAATAAGGTGAGTGTTATTTTCTTTCATACCTCAACATCTCTGCTAACATTGTTTGGGACAACATTTACGTTTCAATTAAACTTCTGTTCAAACACACAGGCACATAAAAACAGCAGTTATTTCCTTTTCCCTATTAGAAGCTAAAGCATTTTAGGTCCCTACCATTCCATGGAGATTTGCAGTAAAACAGTTTTCAAACTTTCATACTGGTTGTGCAAAAACTAGGAAAGTGTGCTCAGAATTGTACTGGCTAAGTCATTTTATTATTCTGATTTTCAGCTATACACATACGTAGTGGACATAAAAAGTTACTCCATTATGGAGGGAAAAATGAACAAGAGAACTCAAGTGTACAAAAACTTTTTTTCCCCTGACTTCAGAGTTTACAAAGCCACAGCTTCAGCCCGCTTTCAGGCTGCCTCCTGCCTCCCCACCCTGTTCTAATTTGCAGCATTCCACATCACTAGTCATTAACAACCCGACGTTCCCTTCAGCTGCACAGTGAAAGTCCATCACATCATTACAAATAAACAATCCCTTCCTCCCTCCAAGGAGTGACACATTATTCTGAGCACGTCTTCTCTCTGCTTTCACTGCACTGCCAGGTCCCCCGTGAGTGGGAAGGGGTAAAAAAGAGAGAAAAAACTATCCCACAACTTGTCTAAAGCATGTAGGGGATGATTTGTGTTCTAACTTACGGGATGTGACTGTCACCGGTGATCGGCTTTCAGTCCTAGATTACATGTGATAAGGGCTGACCTTCTTTAAGTATTCACACATTATGCACTCATGGAGAGCGGGCAGGACACAAAAGTCCTTCAGATGTTCTGGACATCAATCAAGCGCACAGCATGGAGCCTGCCAAACTTTTCTTCCATTTACTCAGGGAGAGGAAGGGGGAGTCCAAGGCAGACTTAATAAAGTTTAAAGCTATGCCACAGTATATTTGGGGAGACCATTGTTATTAAAAGGGTGTTATTTGAAAAAAATTCTCTATAGTTACCACTAGTAACAAAAAATTTCACACACGGAGACAACGAGATTTCACTTCAGCTTTAAAATGTCAAAATCTTTACTTATAAACCAGCTTTCATGGACTTTAGCCGACTGATTTTATTTTTTCTGAAATAACTGTTCACTAAGTATATAAAACAAAAACTAAAAATATGAATTTTTATAACAAGCATCATA